TACTATTCAACTGTATATGTATATATAACGATAATTAAGATTAAATGTTCATGTTTGACCTTGGAAACAGCAGTTAACGAAACAATCTCCCCTCGAGGTCTATTAATTGCTGTTCTGGAGCTTCCAATCATATCTTGCGATCTTCCACAGCTGATGAAATTTGCTTCATGATTTCCTTATTATGTAGCAATTATATTGTTCTTTTCTATTTTCTACAGGTGTGGTAGGAGGTCTCTGCAGTGGTGAAATCACTTTTCACACTTGGGGTTATTTAGTGTGGACGTCTATTTGCAGCAACAAGACCTCAACATGAGCAAGCCCCAGTAAGTAGAACACCGTCCAGAGTCTTGTTTGAAACCATGTCTGAGAGATCGTGAAATCTTAAATCTCTATTTATGAACACGCAGTCTCATGCAAAGGGCATCTCAGCGTGGTAGGATATGATTAGCAGAATGGGACCTGCATATTCTCATGCCCCTCCTGTGAATGACTTTGAACAGGGATCAGCGGGAAAGCAGAGCTCAGCCTCATACAGCATCTCTGAGGAGTGAGAGGGCGGCCGGCCATCTCCAGTATCCGCTGGCATCTCTTAGCATTCAAGAGGGATGCTCACTTGTCATCTTCTCTTATTAATAATTACTCTGTGTGTGGTCCTCTAGACAGGCCCTGCATTCTGATGACAGCCAGGGTAGGGGATAAGAGAAGGCAAAAGAGAGGGAGCATGGGAATGGAGTGGAGTGGGAGGAGGTGGAGTGGAGTGGAGTGGAGTAGAGTGGAGTGGAGTGAAGGGTGAATGCAAAATGGGTTCAGTCAGCTGCATCTTCTGGTTAAAGGCACAGGATGCTGCTTCCAACCAACAGAGCGTTCTGTCTAGGCCTCAGACCAGTGGATTAGTACAGCTGATGGTTGATTACAGGTTTGTTTGAAGGAGAACTTTGGTGCAAAACATCTGTAACCAGATGATATAGAGAATGTGTTGATGATTAGTAGTAATGGCATGATTTAATGTTGCGGAATGCCACTGACTCTCTGTGAAGTGACAGATGGGAAACTCTCATGCAGAGAAAGGTCTTAGGAGTTATTTTCACCCCTGCTCTCTTAGACTTGATGCTGCTGTAAATACTCTCTCTCCCTCTCACTCTATTTCTCTCTCTGGATGGGACAATTATTGCTCAAATACAACTTATTCAAAGGCATTTATGGTACATATTTCGCATAATGTCTGTCTGTAGTTTACATAAAACAAAACTGATAAAATTGAAAAATAAAGATTACACAGCCTTACAACATGTATTTTAACACAAAAAACAGATACACTAAAGAGGCAGCAGGCTACTCTTAGTGTTTGCCCAGAATTAAGCTGTTTGTATTTTTTGTTTTTCTCACTCATTCCTTTCCAACAGCAAACACCACACACCCACAGGAGCCCAGTGGCACTGAAACAGGTCAGCTAACATTTACTGTAACTAACCTCACTGATCCAGTGCCACGCTGCTCTTAATTTATCCGCATAATGAAGACCTCTTTCCAATCGCTGGAATAAACTCTGCTCATTAGCAGGTCACTGCTAAGCCACCATTTTTTAAATCCTCTGTGTTGAAATTTAGAATTGCAATTGTCAGTTTTATGCAAGTACAATTTGTTTATGGTAAATTTATTATTTTTTAATTATTTATTATTTGTAAGAAATTGATTATTAATCCCTTCTTGATTCAAGTCTTTAGGTGTTAATTTTGTTCAGAGTTGCTAGTCTAATAAGAGGCTCTGAATTTTATTTTTATTTTAGGCTTATTTTTATTATTGGCATAGAGCCCCATTGTTGTCTGAAGAATACACAAAACACATCACTGGACCAGACGTCCTCCATTATGATGAACTTGGGTATTATAATTTATTTAGAATTTATCCCATGTCCCGTTCTGTAGTAATAAATACTCAGTAGCGCATCAAATTTGTATTAATCCGCAGCTGAAATTAGTCCTCAGCAAATCAGAATCAGATTTATTTGCCAGGTATGTGTATACATACGAGGAATTTGACTCAGGATTGTACATTGTTCATGATGTGATTACTCATACAATAATACAATAATTGCAAATGCACGTATTACTGCTTTGGTTGACTTTTTCTAAACATGTACGTATGTTTTTGTGACCCATTTTCAAGATTTACATCTTCAGTGGGTATGAATGGACTTGGGGCTGAGTGGCCCAGACAGGGTAGGGAAGTATTGAGAAGCAGACACATTGTTGGTGTTGGGTTTTTCACAGGATTTTTTGACAATAAGAAAAATATAGAATGATGACTGCCTTACTCTTACTCTAAAGTGTTACTGTGTCCATGTTCAACATAGTTATGCTTGGTTACTTACTGGCACTGAAGATGAAGCATCTGGTGTTAGGAGAGAGTAAGTGTAAATCTTAATGTATCAGGTGTCATCTTGACTACCAGCCTATTGAGGCAAGATGGACATAAAAAGAGATTCAAAGCCGACGCATTTTCTGTACAGTAAAAAGAAAACTCCAAAGACCAACAAAACACATTCACTCTTCATTGATGCAGCGGAATTGTCTACTGCTGTAATTTCCCCTTGGACCTTGAAGGGCGTTGCCGAAAAGATCTGATCTTACAAATGTACAATTGTGTCAGGAGCTTGTGTCAGGCCTGCTGCTGCTGCTGCTGCTGCCGCTGCCGCTGCTGCTGCTGCTCGGAAATCTGGCCGGTGCCCACATAAGTGATTTGGCACATTGGTGCCGCTTTCTTGATGATATCAGGACAGTGAATTGCTGCGCACCGAGGAGTAGCCAAGTGTCCGTATACAAACTTATTGGGTAAGACAGAGTGTCTGGGCTACAGACAGTTGGCCAGAAATACCGTGGCAGTGAGCACTCAGAATGATAATGATACCTATGCCCTCTGCAAAACACCAGGTCATGCTGAGGCAGCACTTTGAAATCCACTGAAGTGACAGAAGCAGAGAATCTATTGCTCAGAATAGGTGATTTAATATATGATGTGACAGGCATCAATCTTACCCCTTATCACCTTGATGGAATAGCAACATTATACTCCATTTGTCCATTGCTGTTGTCCTGCATTGGATTCGTATTGCATTAGAATGATCATAAGCTGTTGTCAATGTTTAGTTTCACTTAACTTTATGTTAACAGTTATTTATCTATGGAAAATTGACTCTTTTTTAAGCCTAGCCTTGACGTATAGTTACGCTTTCGTGCTGAAGGTTGCTGTGCTATAGGACATGTCAGCTACAGTTTCACTGCCATTGTGGGAATTTTAAGTAAGGACCACTTTGCCACAACTGCCTCTTATAATAAAAGACTAGAAATTATCTACCAATACAATACAGAGAAAAGTTAAGCGCAGACCCAGGTCTGTTTAACCAAATAACAAAAACTATAATGTAAAATATGAAATAATAAAACTTTCATGAGGCATTTAATGTGTCCTGACATAAAAAAAGATTAAATGAACTCTGATTTTAGTCTTAGTCTCAAACCAGTTTTAATCTTTACATGTTACTACAAACAGACTCACTCTTGACTGACTTTAACGCAGCCCCATCTACAGCCCTGGAAGTTAACATATTCCCTCCCGATGTACCTTATATTAGCATTTGAACCTCCTTTATGTGCATTGGTGTTAGTAAAAAGAGTTTTACTTTCTGATGAGTTCAGCAGTATTGGCCCTCGGTGGCATTTGAGTACCATTCTCATAGGAGGCAGCAGAAAACTGAGGCTGAATAGATAGATAGATAGATAGATACAAGTGAGATTCATTTAAACTCCAGATCTATGGAATCACTGAGTATGGCCAAGAAGATGTCCCTATTGAAAATGTCTAAATGAAAAAGGCTATCTTGGATGTATTTTTAAGAAACGTGTCACTGGAGAGTGTTTCTGGATGGAGCGGGTTTTTCAGTTAACCCTTGTTGTAACTGAAAAGGGTGTGGGCCTCGAGAATATTAATAATGAAACCATGTAAAACTGATCACATTGTATTCTAAGTAAATAATTATTATGCCTGCCATGTTGTGACAAATAGCACTAAATTGTGTAGTCAATTGGTTAGACATGGAAAGAGATCTCTGCAAGCTATTATATTTTTATATATCATTGATCACCGCATGGTAACTTGTCGTGATGTTATGTAAAAATGCTAGGGGAATAACTAGGCACTGCTGTTATTCTGAAGGACCCAAATCCCTGGAAATAATGACACAAGAGGAAATAGAACTCGAAAAAAACACAGCTGTCTCTCAATCTTTGACGAATGCATTGGATTTAATCAGCATTACCAGTTAAAGTTGCTATTTTGTGTAGTAACAGTGTAATTATACTGTAATGGCTGTCCTGAATAGATGAAAATTCAGGAAAGGCTGTGGTAAAACAAGTTTCATTTCAGTCTGTTGCATTATAATAAAGAAAGTTCACATAACTACAGCCTTACTCCAGGGTGTAAGAACAATACCATGTAAAACAACACCATATCAGCATTTAGAAGCATTATCTTCTTTAGAACTATGGGGTTTTTGGGCTTCGTGGTAAGTCTTAGCTCTTACTCTGTATGGGTATGAGATTTTCCCCCTAGCCATGCATGCTCTGTGTTAACCTTTTGCTTCCTCGTGGCGTTTCCTAGTATCACATGCCTCTGAAAAGATCACAGCCTTTAGCATGCTACTGGCTGTCCTTGCCTGCATTGTTGAAGAGAGTAAAGTGTTCAGATGTGAATCCTCCACTCCCTCCTCAGGATGGCAACCTGCCACTCCACTGGGCTCTGCAAATTATGGCTCTTGGCCTGCTCTGTGATTGTCTGGAAATGTGATTTTGATGCACTAAACAGTTTGTGTCTGTCATGACTGATTAGCGTCCTTGTTGCAGTTGGTCAGAGGTGCCAAGTCTATAGATATCTCTGGGATGCACAGGCGTGCTCTGTCGCGAGCATGTTAATATATGGCCGACCCTCAAGCTTAACAACACATCTAGCAGGACTTGCATAATGAAAGGATTGGGAGGAAGGGCATGGCATTTTATGCAGTGATGACATGAAAATAAGAGTTTGCGTTCCATAGCCCTATTGTGCAATGCTAATCCATTATATTTAAAGTAATTCTTAGTTTTCTGTGAGAATAGCAAAATAACCTTTCAAGGGAGTCCATTAAACAGCTATTAGTCAGGAAGTAAGTCAAGAAAAAGAAAGAACTATTTTCCTTTCCAGGCATGCCTACATTAACATTTAACAGGAAGGTGGGTCTGCTCAGTGATCTTCTTCTAACTGTTTCCTTTCATTCTGTTTCACCTCCAGCGTAGAGGTTGTGGAATTCACAACCCAATGACCTTTGTTTCCTCTGTCTTGTAATCAATGCCTTCCTCCAGTGTTAAGCACTGGAGTTATTGATGTCTCCACACTGGCTGCGCTGGGACAGCTGCCAAGACATGTGAGACTGCTGTTCCAGGGTGACTTCTCCTTGTCCGCTATTGGCTGAGCTCGTAGGATCACAATCCTCCCTACACATTTAGGTTTTAGGACCTCAATGGCAAATAAAATTCTTGTGTGTTTGGTTCTGCCAAAAATAGCTAACCTCACAGAGAAAATGCAGTGGATGTATCAAAATGGACATAACAAAACTGAAACAACTTTTTTTGTGCCCTCCGATGTCATTTAGCCCATAAAAATATTGTTGAAAAATATTGTTTTGCTTTAGGATAATGCTGGTAGTTTACAGCATACCATATGTTTTTATTTCATGCAGCCACTGGTTTCTATTAATTTCCGTGGACTCTTCAAGTAGAAACTTGTTATTAACTTGTAATGCAGTTTTAAGCATTTGGTGGCCACTGAGCTATGCATTCAGAAAACCAAATGCTGGAGAGAAATAATGATTTGTTGATGTTGTAAAGAGAATATAGCTTCCTTAGCTTCCTTTAGTGCACCAACAGGGAGAGTTGTAGCAGTCAAAATGGCGACTGCTGGCAACTGGGCAATAGCATGATTTTAGCCTAAAAAAAGTCAAGCAAAACACCAAATTGTTCACTGTAATAGATCACTAATCCCAATCAAGCTTAAAAGTTGAGTTTCAGTCCATTATGATGAATGGAAAGGAATGGCTGCCTGGAAGGTGGGAAATCATTCTAAATCTTAATGAATGCTTTAGAAAGCCGTCTGAAAGAATGTAAAGTATAGGTGATTTGTAGTTAAAGCTGATATCTTTAATCTTTTTAATCAAGAAACTGTTAATATTTGCATATGTGTGGAATGCAAATTGCTATATTTACTGGGCTTTTGAGACTTACTTCACTGCATACTCTGAAATGCAGATCAGCTTGTCATCACTTGCCAGGTAAATGTGTCCTTGTTGAGGTTGCCAGCAAACGCTGCAAACAAGGAATTTCACACCATGTCTATGTTTTCATTCATCAAAATTAAGCATATAGTCCCAGTAGTTGTTGTCACGCTTTGCTACCTGGAACATTTCCATGTTGGTGCTTTGACTAATTCAAATACTCAGCACACTTCCATTCAACCTTGTACTGCAACACTGACATCTATGCTGTAGACCTCACACCACTACACAGAGTAACAGCAAGCAGATCAGAAGCTAAAATCAATTAAGGATTATCTTATCTTAAAAGACGCAAACCCACTCATGGATGACACTCACAAGACATCCACCCTCTAACGCTGCTCTGGTTATGGTTTGTGTGTGTGTACTACAGCGCCCCTCCCCAGACCGGAGCCTCAGAGCTGGAGGTGATTTCTCAGCAGGTGGAGGAGGACAACCAGTGCGTGGCCCCTGTCCAGCTGGTCAGCTTCGCCTACAGAGACTTGCCTTTGGCCGCCCTTGACATATCCCTCGCTGGATCTCAGCTCATCTCGAACCCGGATGAAGAAGACAACAGGGAGGGGTACGTCCCACGAATTCACTCCGAAACAATCCATCAGTTTCTGTGGTTGCTTGATAATTTGACCACAATCAGTAAAACAATCTCTAGAGATTATTCTGTTATTATCAAGAACTCGTGACTGGTTTGGCTAGCCTGACAAAGCAGCTTGAGTGTGGTTATAAGGAACGTGAAACTCGTGTTTTTGTTCTGAAACTACATGAAACAGAACACTTTCCTTTCATGGTTTGAAGCATATAAAACACCATACCTTCTGAGGAAGGTGGAAACAAATTAGTAGCATGATTATCAATTAAATCTTTCTATGATTAATTTGTATACTAAAAAGCCCAAAAATGTAATTACATATTGATTGATGTTCCTGATGTTCGCCACCGCAGTTAAGAAGATACTAGGAATATGGTGTCTGAGACATTGTCTCTGCTTGTTGCGTGAAAGTGCCACATCCATAATTAAGGCAGAATTGCAATTACTACAATCTATAATCTACCCTGGCAGAGAAAAGCTCTGCCGTCACTCTCTCCATTGCTCGTTATTGCACATGGTAATTACACCTGGCGTATTGAATCAGCCCTCATTTTATATTAGAGTCCAGGAGTCGAGGATATTTGGCGATGAATTTATTAGTGTCACCATGTTAAATGGACAATGTCTCCACTGATGTGTTCATTTTAGCTCAATGACACAGCAATTTCTCGCTACCAGACAGGCTTCTGTTCATAATGTCGATTTCTGGCGCAAAACAAACAGTGTTATTCGCACCATAGCTTTCCTGAAATGTCAGAGCCCTGTGGCGGTGATGTTAATGTCCATGAGCCCTGCTTGTCCAGGGTTTGTGTTGTTTTCTTATTGCTATATCGCCATGCTGCAGGCCCAGTGCTCTCAGAACAGGACATGCCCCTCCTAGAGCACCCCTGTAGCACATGTCCATGGCTCTCCACTCAGGAAGCGTGACTCACAACCCTTTGGCATGCTGCAATGCTGGCACCCATGCAGAGAAATTTGACAAACAGCATAAGCTTTATTAGAGCATCCGGCATTTCACAATCCAAGCCCTGGTGTGTCAGCTGACCATGTCCGGCTGGACTTTGCCCGGTCTGGCCAGGTCCGGGCCGATGGCTCTGTGGGACGGAGGGCCGGGACAGATGGGTCATCCCAAACACAGACTCTCTCATCCTACCTTGTGTCTTTCTCACTCTCTCAAATGCTCACAAAAAGCACACATAGCAATGCCACAGCAGAGAGCAGGATCTGGCAGCCCAGCAAAATTATCAGAGCGGGCTCTCTCATATGGCATCATATCACACCCTGGTCACCTGGGATTTGGCATTGTGCAGTGGAAAAGTCATGCAGTGCCAAGACATGTCTCTGAGGGATTTATCAAGTCAACAGTGTGAATATTCTTTATCATGAAAAGTAAGAAGGCATTCATTCTGATTAGAGAAATGCCCTCTTAAGAGGCCAGGAAGTTTAGACGTATTCAGCAGATTAGTGAAAACATGACAGCATTTGTCACCCAGAGTTTGAGTGTTACATCAACTTCAACTTTCAACTTTATTTTGTCCCTAGAGGGCAATTGGTTTTCCAACAAAGCAATACAATAAAGAACATAGACATACAGTGGAGGGGAGGTGCCTCATTATCATCATCATCATCATCATCATCATGAACTACATCATCATGTCATCACATCTACACTGCACACTCAGCCAAGTGATTAGTCTCTCATTAACTCCTCCCCTGGCCTCCTGGGCAAAGGAGTGCTCATACCTGTTACTCTTAAACAGGGGTGAATGCCAGAAGGCAAAATCTGAAATTCAGACTGTAGGGAGTTGGCGTTGTCAAATAGGAAGGCTTTAGCCTTCCTCCCTACATGTCTAAACAGGTCAGATAGCATACTCTGCTGCACTCCCAAGATCTTACTGCTCACTTTCACTATCCTGGTTAGATCATTCTTAGCCTTGTAACTAAGGTTCCTGAACAAGCAAATCAAAGAAAAAGTTTAAACAAACCAGGATAAAATAGGATCATGATTGTCTTGTCAACACGAAACTGAGACAATATCCAGAGGCAGAGCAGACATTGCTGGCCCTTCTTGCACAGCATCTCAGTGTTACAATTAAAATTCAGCTTGTTATCAGTTATCAACCCCAAGGTACTTCTCTACAGAGTCTACCACCTGTCCCTTGATGATAGTACTCTGAGAAGATGGGGGCTGATAAAAATCAATACTCATGTCTTTAGTTTTTGTCACATTAAGTAGTAGAAATGCACCAATATTGAAAATTCATCGACTGACACATTATTACAGCAAACTTTAAAAAGCATGTGTTGTTGTGCAGCACTCGTCAGTGTACAGAATATGGAGGAGAGGTGAAAGGAAAGGTAAAGAGGCCCTGAGGAGATCCTGTGGATGTTGATAATTCCTCCGAGATGCTTCCACCTTCAGTCTCAGGGTTCTGTTATTAAAAAAATCAAGGATCCAGCCCACAACATTAAAATCTGAACCAAAATTGGGGTTGGATCATGTCAAAAGCAGATGAGAAATCCACAAATAACAGCCCCCTCGCCCAGTTCCGTACACAAACTGTAATGGTAAAAGTAGGAAATAAAAGTAGGTGCCCAGTATTGATGACAAGTTCACTTTTCAGCAGTTTTTGAAAGGGCTTCATAACTAGGGCAGTCAGAGCAACTTCCTATAATCATTAAAACTTTGGTGTGATTGTTTTTGGCCACAGGGATTACTATGGACTGTTTCTAGCTGAAAAATAGTAAGGTAAAAGTCGGCATCCACTTCCCACTTTGTTGATCGCTCTAGATCACTGTATTCATTGCGTAGATTATGAAAAAGAAAAAGAAAACAACCCAGACTCAGACATGACGCTTGCTGCCGGTTGCTGTTAGAGCATGGCCCTGGGCCCAAGTATGTTCAATGAGCTTTTTAGATTGGAATTCCTGATTTTCAGGTCATAGGCATTCTAAGACATACCTGACATGACAGTTTCATACACACATTTTTTGTTCGGAAGAGCAACAGAGCCAGCTTGTCGCCACCGGTTCTGGCAGCCTTTGTGACTCATGTGTATAACCTCAGAGGAGTGGCACAAAGGTGGGATGTGTTGTATGCAGCAAGATTTTAAATTAACCAAGAGAATCAAAGGCCCTAATCGCAAAGCAATGACTGATTTACAGCTATTTTTCTATTTTTCTCCTGTTTATTGGAATGTATTTCCAGGGAGACACCTCTGCATAGTGTTGGCTAATTTTAGCACTTTATAAACGATTGTGTACAAGAATGTAAACCCACTTTCATAGCCTTGTTACTGGTATTCCAGTGGCTTTGATGGTGATTAGCAGGACAGGTTGTTTTCTGAAGCTACTATGACTTACATTCCTGAAATGTTTTATATCATAGAAATGAGAATTTAGTCTTACAAGGCAGCTTCTCGTGGCCCTTTATCAGGAGGCGTGGGCGTTTATGTAGGAGGTGGATGTTCTTGCGGACTACAAGGGGCACACGCAGTCCTTGCAGATTCCGAGCGGTGATGAGCTGGATGGAAATATTAATAGATTTTGGCAGCACCATCTTCTCCAGGACTTACTGGAAAGTCCAAGATGAGGGTGGTATGATTTCACATGTACCTTAGGTAACTTAATTATTGTCTCATGTGTATTATTGTATTATTTTAAAATTCTGCCTTTTTAATAGTTTCAAAATTAAGCTGCATGCCTTGTCATGTTTCTGTATTTTGATTAAGCTGTAGCAACCTAACCATCCTTGCAGCAATCAATGCCTAATAGGGGTTGCAAAAAGGGAATAAGCAGGGCTTAAATAGAATTACCGTAATTAGTGTAAGTGACAACAGCTGTTCGTGTGTGCGAAGCATACACAAATTGACTTTTAAAATATTTTGGTGCTTTAATTATTTTCAAATTTGGTTCAAATTTGGAAGCTGTAATTAACTATGGCAACATAATGGAGTGTGCATCTGTTCTTCTATTTTTGAAATCATAGGGTTTTTTTCATTTTCCTGCATTTGTCAATTTAGTCAGAGGACTTTTTAATAAGGCAATTAAAGAATGATAAAACTGCATATTTTTTTATTAGATGCTGTGCATGTAAACTGTACAGGTCTAAATAAAAGTGCAGCAGCAATGTGATGTGTTGAGATCGTTCTCTACCTTAATCCTGACCTCTAATGGTGACCTCCAGACTGGGTGGGCCCAGGCTCCTAGAGAGCTTCCTGGCCCCAGTCTCCGGACCTATCCTGCTCTTGTCTTTGGTTATCATCCCTAGATCAACATGCTGCCCACAGCTGCAGTAGCACATGCTGTTGTTCTCCTGGGGCTACACTGAGAGGTCTGAGGCACTGCAGCAATGACAGATGGTTCATATGGGTCAACTTGCTGCTTTGACTGGAGAAGAGAGGAGGCGGAGGAGATAAAGAGAAGGATGGAGGAAGGAATAGTGCAGACGACCTTCCTCCACACCTTCATTCACAAAGCTGCCAGCTGCAGATCACAAGGAAATGGCTCCATTTGATGATGTCGTATCTGTTAATTAATCCTGTGCCGTGTTGCATGGTGATGGCCACAGCTGCTAGCTGACACAGTGTCGGGAGAAATGTCGGCTATTAGATAAGCTTAAGGCTGCCCAGGCCAGCCTAGATTGATTACATTACTCAACATAGAGCTCAGACTTCCCCACTGAAATAAGTTCTCAAGCCACTTTACACTCACTAAAATGTATGAACACAGCAGTACATCAACATGCACATGATCAAAACTAGGTTGACAATACTCAAGGTTGAAGTAAAAATGGAATAATTAGAAAAACCTATACTGTAGAATATAGCACTGAAGGACCTTGCCAGAGTCTAGTATGAATCTTGGCAGCAAAATATTTCATGGGGCTTTGGAACCAGAGCCATACTATACCTGTTCTTTGATGATGGATGTCTGAAAATAGAGCAGGACGCCCCCCACCCCGACTCTATTTCAAACACACAGAGGAACAGTCCTCTCCATCAAATTGGCTCTCTTGCCTGGCACCATGTGCGACACAATAGATGACATTTGAGTGCAGGTTTGAGGGTTTGTTAATATTCACAGACATGCAAAGTGTGAGATTGCTTTTAGGCTGAGAGCGAGAGAGATCAAGTGTCCTGGTGAAAACCCATTTATCAGGGACAGCTTGTCTGCTGCTCTGCACATGGAGCCCCATCCATCTCCATTTGCTTAGTATCTGTGGCCCATTTCTCTGGCAAAGACCAGTTCCGATTCCCCTCTGCTACATTGTACCATGGTGTGGAATGCAACGAGTGGAGAAATGATAGCTGATCGTACTTGGATCCCAGTGCAAAGGTCTGGTTATCCTGGAAAGCTGTGTTTTCATAAGACTGTTTTAAGAAATTTTTATTTATTACTCAGAGAGAATGCTAAAGCCTTAACTTTTTTCTTTATTGGCATCTGTAATCAATTTGCCC